GAATGCTCCTTGCCTCAGGCCTCCGTCCACTCCTGTCCAGTGTGTACTGGCGGTAGTCCTCTGCCTCAGCCTGCAAAGGATCCCTCGGTTCTATAATTCTGGCCCACTGGGTGTGGGGGCAGGCCTCCCTGCACCATAGCCTGCCACTGCACCCCAGCAGGCACCATTACAATGCCAGCAATGGACTGGCTATTTCAAGACTGCAAGCTGTGCTTGGGATCAACCCAGTCCTGGGAGACCCTGCCATTCACTTTTGTTGACCCTGAGAAGGTCCCTTCTGAGCCTCAGTTTCCTCATCATTGAAATAATGTCAGAGCCTAGACATGGGTCCTGGAAACAGAGGCCAGGGATGAGAGCATGAGTTAGCAGAAAAACCATAGGTGATGACCAGGGGAGGGTCACAACATGGGTATTTCAGTGACCTAAACTGGAGTCTCAGTATTGATGCCATTTCTGGGCATGAGCAGGGCAGTGCCTCCTTTCTCTGGCCATTGGTTCTCCACTTGAAAAGTAAGCCCTGGGGTTGGAAAGTGGGGGAACAAGGGCAGGCAGTGCAAGGCAAGATCCTATCCCACAAAGATGTTGAAAAGGGAGCTTCGTGTGAGGGCCTGAAAGAGGAGGCTCCCACACCCCCGCCGACCTCACCCTGAACCTATGATCCTATTCAGCAGTCCCCTCAGGTGTGAGTAAGAAAGCAGCTACAGAAGGTGGTGACAAAATGAGACCTTCTGCAGGGCCAAGCGACTGCTGCTCCTCCTTACAAGAAGAAGGGGAAAGAAAACATTCAGTGGTGAATGTGGCAGAGGGCCCGACCCCCAAGAGCCAGCATTCCCAGAGAGTGAGGAAGAGATGTAGACAGTGCCAAGTGTTTGGCTGATGGGATGGGGCTTCCTGGCTGAAGAGGACTTTAGAAAGGGGACCTGAGGAGGCTTGTGAGACCAGGATGCTGAGGGAGCTATGCACGGAGAACAGGGCTCAGGAGTATGGGACTGTGGGAAATGATCTGAGGCAGAAATAACTCCTGGGGCTGTGTTCCGAAAGCAGGACCCAGTGTGATGTGTTTGGGAAACAGGATGAGGTTGGGTGGGCAAGGAGGAGAGGGAAGATTGGGGGCAGACAAGGACAGAGGTCAGCAGTCGGGATTTCATTCTGATCCCAGGGTTTTAACCCTTTGAGTGCCAACCAATATCCTAGGAACTATGCTAAAATTGCCAAGGCATTTTTGCTGATTTTCCTTAGGTGCCATCTGTCAATAAAGAGTGAACTACTAGCATTTAATAGTGACACTGCAGGAGGAGCGCCATAGCGCTCCCGGAACTTTTGGCAAAAGACAGAAGGAGCACCATCGCGATCCCCGGCACTCTAGGAGTTAAATAAGGAAATGATATAATCTGATTTCCATTTATAAAGGATGCCCTTGCCTGCAGGAGGATCTGCAGGAGGATGGGGGCAGCAGGTTGATGGGAGTGGGACAGGGGACCTGAGAGCCCAAATACGCCAGCTGTATGATCCAAGAGGAAGGAAGTGAGGACTCAGAGCAGTGACTGGGTTTTGGGTGAATTTTCTCAGTAACCATTGCACTTGTTGATGTTGAGGCTGAGGGAAATAACTGAGGGGTGCCCTTTGAGCAGTGGAGTAGGCCAGGTGAACCACTCCAGCCCAAAGAGATGAGGCTGACCTGACCTTCAGGCAGGTCCACAGCTCAAAGCAAGCCTGCAGAGTCGCTGGCCCTCCGGTCCAATGCACATAAGCAAGACACACAACATGGCCTTCCCCTCACTAACCAGGGCTCCCATGACCAACCCCTTTCTACCAGGCTTTTCTCACATTGGTTTGAAAACCAAATGCATGGCCTGACACTTTGTGCCTCTGTGTGTGTGTGTGTGTGTGTGTGTGTGTGTGTGTGTGTGTGTGTGGTGTGTCTAAGCAACACACAGGGGTTGCAAACTGAAATGCCCACAGTGGCCAGGCATCCTATCTAATAAAAGAGAAACATTGTAATTAGCCGTAACTTCACTACCCTTCTCATTGGCTAATCAGCGAGATATGCAAATTAACTGCCAACCAAGATGGCGGCCGGCAGCCAGGAAGCTGATGCGAACAGGAGGCTTGCTTGCTCCAGTGACGGAAGAAGCCAGGTTCCCTGCCTGCCACTGCCAGCCTCTCAGCTGCTCTCTGAGAAACATTGTTACAAATATAGAAGCTAAACAAAACTCCAGAAACCTGCTTTCAGTCAGCCAGGATCTCAGAGCTGGAGTCGCAACAAAGTTTCAAATACAGAAGGTAAACATAGCCCAGAAATCTGCTTTCAGCAGCCGAGGTCTCAGAGCTGGAGCCAAGCCTTAGAGCTAAAGATGGCTCTCAGCTCCAGTGACAGCCATAAAAGGTAAATAAATCCCAGAATAAAAAAGAAATAAAAGAGAGGTTGGGAGCTTCAGTCACCCGCCGGCCTGAAAACGGCCCTCAGCCCCTCACCCAGACTGGCCAGGCACCCCAGTGGGGACCCCCACCCTGAAGGGGGTGTGACCAGATGCAAACAGCTATCATCCCCTCATCCAGGCTGGCCAGGCACCCAAGCAGGACCCCCACCCTGATCCAGGACACCCTTCAGGACAACCAGCCGGCTCCCACCCATGCACCAGGCCTCTATCCTATATAGTAAAAGGGTAATATGCCTCCCAGCACCAGGAACAGCAGAGCCGCAAGGTCTCCCGGCCTGGGATCAGCGAAGCCACGAGGCCTCCCAGCACTGGGATCAGCGGAGCTGCGAGGCCTCCCGGCCTGTGATCAGCGGAGCCACAAGGCCTCCCGAACCCGGGATCAGCTGAGCAGGGAGGCCTCCCGGCACCGAGATCAGTGGAGGCGCGAGGCCTCCAGGCCGGCCTCCCAGCACTGGGATCAGTGAAGTCACGAGTCCTCCTGGCCCCTGGAGCAGCGTGACAGGGGGCAGCGCCCAAACCCCCTGATCGCCCTGTGGCTCTGTGTGTGACAGGGGGCGGGGCCACAACCCCCTGATCACCCTGTGGCTCTGTGTGTGACAGGGGGCGGGGTCACAACCTTTCTATCCACCCTGCTCTGTTCGTGACAGGGGAAGGCGCCCCAACCCCCTGATCGGCCCTGCTCTGTGCCTGATAGGGGGGATCTCCCTAACCCCCTGATCGCCCCTGCTCTGTGTGTGACAGGGTGCAGCACCCCAGCCCCCGCCATGGGCCCTGCTCGGTGTGTGATGGGGTGGAGCCACAACCTCCCCATCAGCCCTGCCTTGAGTGTGACGGGAGTGGCGCCCCAATCCCCCAATCGGCCCTACCCTGAGCGTGACTTAGGGTGGCATCGCAACTTCCTGATCTGCCCTCCTCTGTGCCTGATAGGGGGGAGCTCCCCAACCCCCTGATCGCCCTGCGGCTCTGTGTGTGACAGGGTGCTGCGCCTCAACCCCCTGATAGGCCCTGCTCTGTGTGTGACAGGGTGCGGCGCCCCCCCCACCCCCCACGGGCCCTGCTCTGTGTGTGACGGGGTAGAGCCATAACCTCCCCATCGGCCCTGCCCTGAGTGTGACAGTGGCAGCGCCCCAACCCCCTGATCAGCCCTGCTCTGTGGGTGATAGAGGGCGGCGCCCCAACCCCCTGATCCGCCCTGCTCTGTGTGTGACAGGGGGTGGTGCCCCAAATCCCCTATCTGCACTACTCTGTGAGTGACAGGGGGGAGCTCCTCAACCCCTGATGGGCCCTGCTCTGTGCGTGACAGGGGGGAGCTCCCCAACCCCCTGATGGGCCCTGCTCTGTGCGTGACAGAGGGGAGCTCCCCAACCCCCTGATCGACCCTGCTCTGTGCGTGACAGGGTAAGGAGCCCCAACCCCCCTGATGGGCCCTGCTCTGTGTGTGACAGGGGGCAGCGCCCCAACCCCCAGATTGGCCCTGCTCTGTGCGTGACAGGGGGTGGCGCCACAACCTCCCCATCAACCCTGCCTTGAGTGTGACAGGGGGCGGTGCCCCAACCCCACAATCGGCCCTACCCTGAGCGTGACTGAGGATGGCATCGCAACCTCCCAATCCACCCTGCTCTGTGCATGACAGAGGGCGGCGCCCCAACTCCCCAATCGGCCCTGCTCTGAGCCTGACCAGGGGCTGCACCTAGGGATTGGGCCTGCCCTCTGCCACCCGGGAGCAGGCCTAAGCCAGCAGGGTGTTATCTCCTGAGGGGTCCCAGACTGCGAGAGGGCACAGGCCAGGCTGAGGGACCCTCCCTTCCCCCCGAAGCCTCTAGTCCTATATAATAAAAGGGTAATATGCAAATCAACCAAACGGCAGAACAACTGGTTGCTATGACATGCACTGACCACCAGGGGCAGACACTCAACGCAGGAGCTGCCCCCTGGTGGTCAGTGTGCTCCCACAGGGGAGCACCGCTCAGCCAGGGGGAGCGTGTTTAAGCCAGCAGTCAGACAACCCCCGAGGGCTCCCAGACTCTGAGAGGGTGTAGGCTGGGCTGAGGGACCCCTCCCCCACCAGTGCATGAATTTCATGCACCGGGCCTCTAGTATCATATAAGGGTGAATATAAGATGGATAATAGGGAGTGGTGGGGACTATGGCAGTGAATGGGTTGCCTAGGCTCCACCTAAAGGAAGCTGTGTTCTCAGCTCTAGCCCATAATAACTATGTGGATACATGTGTAAGCTTATTTTTCAAAAGAATTCAGAAATTTTATTTTTAGGTAAAATGGCTAATTTTAAATTTGGGCTTCAATTTAAAAAACAACATAAGTGCCATATCAACCAGTTAGTATTCAACTCTGCCATACAGGGCCAGGGTGGTCTGGATTCAAACCAGAGAGCCAACTCTTGTTAGGAGACCTGAATTCAAGTCGCAGCCCCTTGAGGATCCCACAGTGGGGTCATCCCAGCATGGGCAGGTGAGGAGTCCCAGAGGGCTCCCAAGAGTATTCTGTCAGTAGCCCGTAAGACCCTTTTTGCCTGTTTGCAGTGTCCGGTGAGCACGTACCCACTTTGAGCTCCTTCCCGAAGACGGTGCGCTCCCCCAGCGCCGAGCAGTTCCAGCGGCCATTGCGGAACTGAAACTGACACTCGTCCAGGCCCATTTGTGAGCCTTCTCCTATGACGATGATGGCGTCGGGCCGGCTCTGGCAGATCGCCCGCTGTCTGGGAGCCAGGCCTGGGATCTTGTTACAGATGATGCTCGCGCCCAGAGCTACCACCGAGGAGAAGCCACTGGAGCAGGGGACACAGAGAGAGGGAGCATTAGGCTCGCAGGGTGGGGCATGGACTACAGGTCCTCCCTCGTATCCATCCCTGGCCACCTCACCCCACAGCTCCCAGCAGGAGTCTCCCAACTTTTTTGATACTGCACCCCAACCCAGGTTTATTCACCTGTGGTTTCACATTGGTTTCTGTGTGGGGTGTATATACAATATTAGTGAGGCTTGATTTCCTTTTTCAATAGCAAAAAATAAGATGATGTATGTCAAACATAAATGTTGGAACTAAGCAAGTTGCCTTTCTAATTATGGTAGGTTTCAACTGAGATGAAATTTAAAATCATGCAAAATGAATCCCAATATTGTTCAGGAATCATCTTTATGTGGGAAAATGATAAAGGCAAGTAAGGGAAACTACAATTTCATGCAGCAATTGCCTCTGAAAGGTTGGTGGGTACACAGATGTTCATTTAAAAAAACAACTGTTTGTACATGTTTTATATACTCGCTAGTATGTATGTGTATGTTTTATTACCAAAAAATATTTAAGCAGAAATTGTGAATACAAGTTCTAGGTTTGCTCCCTGCATGCCAATGGTGTACATGTAGCCTCCTCTAGATATGACTGGCCTAGAGGAAGCTTATGCCTATTCTGGAGAGTCATTCACTGAATAGACACATATCAGACATCTCTCAGGTGCCAAGGCCCTGCACTCGAAGAGCTACAGAGGGAGACAATGTACGCACCATAAACAAATACAACAAGCCATTCCAGACAGTGGTGCACACTACGGAGCCTAAGTAAAGATGCTGTGATGGCAGCAAGGGTGGGTTAGGGAGGGAAGGGACAGAGCCACTTTAGCTGGGGTGGTCAAGAAGGGTCTTCCTGAGGAAGTGGCAGTGAAGCAGGGACCTGACTGATCAGCAGTGGAAAGGTACGAGGAAGAGTATTTATGGGCAGAGGGAACAGAAAACGAAGTCATGGAAGGGGACAAGCTTGGGGTCTCCAAGAAACAGAAAGAACCCATAGAAGGTGATGCAAACCAGAGCTTAGGAAGGAGGACAATCTGGGGGCAAAAGACTCAGGGCTAGAATGTTCTCAGGTATCAGAAAGCACTGAAAGGCTGTAAGCATGATACTGACAGTGTCCCATCTCTCCAGCCCCATGGGAGAGGACGATAAGATGCCAGGGCAGAAGTAGGGAGAGTGGGCAGGCAAGAGGTGGTGGTGGGTTGGTCTTTGGGGATGGCTGCAGATGGAGCTGACCAAACTTGCTATGGACTGATGGGGTGGAGCTAACAAGACAGATGCAGAAGGTAGAAAGATGGGCATCAGTGTGACTTGTGGATACCTGGCCTGAGGATGGGGCCATTTCTTAATATCAAGATAACCCCAAACAGGCTCAGATGGTAACCCTAATGATGCAGGTAGTCCTTCATTTGCATAAAAATGGCCCATTCATATGGAGTTTCCTTTTGTATAACCCTCAAGTCTACTTTGAAAGAGATCTCACCCCAGATGTCTCACTGTGGTTAAAATAATAAGAGCTTCCACTTATTGAGGGCCATGGCCAGTCACTGGACTAAGTGCCCCATGCTTTCCATCCTGGAGCTCAGGCATGGGAAGTTGTTCTGGAATTGGGATTTCTTAAAGCGCAGTTACTCTGTGTCAATAGCACCAGAGATGAGCTGATCCCACTCCTTTCCAGGTGCCTAACTGACCACTCCTGTCCTTTTTCCCTCTGCTCCTGCCTCACACCAGCTTCTTCCTATCTCAGGCCCTTTGTCTTTGTTGGTACCTCTCCCTAGAAGCTTTCTCAGCCCCTAAGCTTCACATGCTTGGCTTCTTGTCATCATTTATGTGACCTTGAGTCACCTGCCTTCCCACCCCTCCCCTCCTAACTTTCCATCACAATCTCCGTTTTGTGTTTCTTAATACTCTTGCTACTCATGGTCCAGTCCTCTGAAATGTCTTAATGTGTGTGTTTGTTTTTCATTTGTCTGCTCACTTGTTCATTGCCTTTCTCATTAGACTGTGAGCTCTTTGAGGGCAGGAAGGCTGTCTGCCGGTTCACTAAATGGTCACTGCATAAATGGATTGTAGAACTTTAAAAATGTCACTTAAGATGAGCACCTCCTTCCCAAATATGGACTTGACTGCCTCAGTGAACTTTTGCAGCATCCCTAGTATGTGTCAAGTCTGTATGGTGAATGCTGTCACTAACATTAGCCCATGCGACCTTTCTAAACAGCCCTGTTGGGCAAGACTCACCATATCTATTTCACATGTCTGAAAACTCGGGTTCACAGAGATTGAGACATGGAGGCTAGCAGGTAATGGATTTGAAACAGAAGCTACAGCCATTCATCTCAGCCATTAAAACAGAGTCTACACAGAGCTAGGATGTTTGAATTGTTTGAGAAAGAAGTGGCACAGAAAGATTAAGTGGAGGTTCTATCCATAAGTCAAGAGGAATCTTTGAACTCTTACCTGACCACAAGGAAATTCCTACACCAGCAGAGAAGTGTAATGATATATTAGGGTCAAAAATTCATAGGAACAATAGGCTCCTGGCTAAGTGGTCAGAGCTAGGGTGCCATGTAAGTTTCCTTCGCTTACTAACTGTGTGACCTTGGGCAAGTTATACTTCCTCTCTGTACTTCCATGGCTAAAATGAGGATAATAATAATTAGCCCCCACCTCACAGGATTGCTGTAAAAATTAAACGTGTTAAAACATGGAGAGTGCTTAGAAGATGTTGTTAAAGTTATTATTATTATTATTATTATTATTATTATTATTATTAGATCTGATTGTCACAGGGGCTGGTGCTTCAATCATTGGAACTATCCAGATAAAATAAGAATACCACAGATGTCCTGCCATCAGAAGGAACCAGTCATATCTGGGGAACCAGAAAGCCTCTTAGGGACTTCACCCCGCATGCTCATTTTACAGATAGATAACCCAAGGCTCACGGAGCAGCAGGGCCTGGTCCCAAATTACCCTGCAGTTCCTCCGGACCTGGACCTCTTTGGGCCCCAAAGGGCAGCTGCTGGGCCGCAGTTCGGCTAGCGCCCTTCCTGGATCCCTCCCCGGGGTAGCTGGGCCCCCACGAGGTCAATGAGGTGCTGGCGCCGGCGGGAGGTCGGGCAGGCGGTGCAGCCAGGGGAGGTTATTTTCTGTTGTTTTTCCTTTCTCTCTCCCCTCCGGGTCCCTCCACCCCGTTTCTAATTAAAAAGAAGATAAAGCCACAAGCGGCTAGCGCCAATCAGCCAGACTGGCTTCCTGGATGCTAGATGCGCGCGTGGCGGCGGGTGCGCGAGCCAAAGTGAAGATTAAAGCGGGGGGGGGGGGGGGGGGAGGCGGGGGAGAGAAGCCACTCAGCCGCGGGCGAATCAATAACACTTAAAACACACAGGAGGCCGGCAGTGCGCGGGCCCCGCAGCCACCTCTCCACCCGCGGTCGCCTGCTCTGCCAGCAGTTGGGGCTGGCGGGCCGGCTCGTTAGCTCTGTGCGCACTTGCTTGCTTCCACTGCGGGTCAACCTGAGAAATCCCTGCTCCAGAGACGCGAGGTGGGCAAAGGGGAAGAGTGGTAGTGACAAAACACAAAGGATCTGCCACACACCACCCCTCGCAGCAGCCCCGGCAGCCAGCCCGCCCCTCCCCAAGCAGAGCAGTAGGGAGGTTCCCAGCTGGGGGTGGGGGAGCAGGTTGTGTGCAACCTGCCAAGGTGGCCCCATCAGCGCCACAACCTCTATCAATCCTTAAAGCCCCCCTCCCGGCTTCACCCTTCCGTGCTTCACACGCATTATCTCTTAAGTACAAAGGGTGACTGGCCGTGCAAATGCAGCTCCAAGACCCGTTTGGAGCCCCCACCCCAACCTTCCAAACAGAGTACCGCCCCAGCCCACCTCCATAGAAATGCAGTGGTGACTGGGGGAGGGGGGCTGCTCCGCCCGTGCGCAGACCGGCTCTGGCACCCAGTTTTAGGTTAGGGTGTCCCGCCTTTCTCGGGCGCTGGCTCTGCGAGCTTGCCTCCTTTGGTGTCTCGGGGCCAGCTTTCGTCCTGTCTCTCTGTGTGTCTGTTTCGGCTAGTAGACGCTGTCCCCTTGGCCTAGGAAAGGCTCTGGACGTCCGAGGGTCCTTAGCAATCGTGTAGTGCCAGGGTTCTGAGCAGGGTTGGTGTTTTTTGTCCAAGAACATCCCTCCCTCTGGGTACCTGTTCCCTGTTGTTCGGACGGCCCCGCCGGCCCCCTGGGCACTGCCCTGTCTCTAGGAGCGTTTGTGTCCGTGCCTCTGAGGCTCTGGAGGATGAGTTCCCTGGGAGCAGTTGTGGTCCCAGATACCGACACAGTGTTCCTGCTGGACCTGCTGTTCCGATGCCCGGGACTGAAGGGCCTCTGGGATTGGCTAACCCTAGCCCCCCAAGCTGGAGCGTCCCCACTGGCTATCTCTAGTTCTGAGGGCTTCCAGACTCAGACATCCTCAGGATGGCGGGTCTACCAGCTCGTACCTCTCGAACTGACGTACAACAACTGGGGCGCCTGCCTGCGGGGGGGCCTTTGTGCACCCACCTTTCCCGCACCCTGCCCACCCGGCCTCTCTGATGGGGCCACGGAAGTTGGCGGCCGACGGCGGCTCTTAGGCAGCACAGCCTTTCCCCAGGCCACGCCAACTTTGCCGGGACACGCGTGCAGGGGCTGCGAGAGGCCCTTACCCGATCCGGAGGTAGACCATGCCCAGGCTGAGAAAGAGGTGGCCCAGGCAGCGCCGCGCTTTCCGGTTCATAGTCCCCCCTGGTCACCCGGGCCGCGGGCCGAGCTGTGCTGATCCCGCGGGCCGACCCCGGTGGAACAATCAACATAGCCCGCCCGGGAGGTGCGGGCCGAGGCGTCCCCAGGGCCGTCTGTTCGTGTGCCCGTCCGCGCACTCGGCGCCTGAGCCTCTCCGGGAACGCGGGATCCACGGAGCGGGAGGAGGGTGGGAGGAGCGAGCGCACCGCGGGGCGACGCCGGACTGCGCGCAAGCTGCCGGTGCGAATGTGCGAGGCGCGGGGAGTGCGGGGACCCTGCAGCCGCCCGCCCGGCCCCTCCTTCCCTCTTTTCTCACTCCCTCCCCCGCCTGCCCCCCGGAACGCCCGCCCCGCGCCCCCGCGCCCCCGGACCCAGCCGCCTGCTCCCGGCGCGCGCTCGCGCATTGCCCCTCGCGCTCGCGAGGCGCCCTCTCTCGGCTCTGGGACGCGGAGCCGGGTGGGGAGAGGTGGGAGGCTGCTCGATCCCCAGAGGTGGCTAATTCGCAAGTTGCGGGACGAGTGGACGCTCAGGGACTGCACTCGGGGCGGAGGAGGAAATCAGGGCTTGGATGGGAAGCCTTGGCTCTGGCCTGCTCCCCGGCCTCCTCGCCTGGCCGAGAGCTTGGAGCTGGCTGTGGGGTGTTAGGTCGCACCCGGGTTCCGCCTTCCCCGGGGCTTCCGAGACCCTCTTGGGGAGGGCACCCCTCCCTTAGAGCTAATGGCGGAGCGGAATAACTGACTCAGCATTTTCTTCCCCCATCCCTGTCTTTTCGATGGGGGATAGCAAGTGGGTGCCCAGATTGGGCAGCCTCCTCTGGAACCCCGCTCCTAGTGGACAGTCAGGTTGAGGCCCGGATGCCCCTCACGGAATCTAAACGTCGGGCCGCGGAGCCACCCGAGAGCGCAGGGCTCAGAGCGCACCACCGGGCGACACCTGGCGAGCATAGCAGGTGTTACAGCTTGGCCTCACTGGGGGACTGCGTCCTGGCTGGCCAGAGGTGCTGAATCCTTCCTATGATATACACTCCCGTCCAGTGAGCTGGGGGCTGCTGAACTCAAGTTTCAGCTGAAGAAATTGAGGCTCAGGAATGCGACGGTGTTTTCCCAAAGACCCCGGCTAGCGAGTGGCAGAACCCGGTTAGAAACAAGGCTACCTCCACCACACTCCATCCCAGGCCATGCCTGCCTCTCCTCTATAATTGCTTTTTCATACCACGCACATGTTCCTTGAAAACTACCGTTCATGCGTTCATTCACAACCCACAAATGCCTGTGCCCGCCATGGTGGGGGAACCTAGGCTATAAGGAACAAGGGAGACAAGGGTCTTTCTTGGAACTTGTGAAGGAGACAGACCAAACGTAAACAAATGCAAGTGGAGATAATAAAACAGTTATGGGAGAGACACACTGTGTGATGCATGGTTTGTTTTAGATCCAACAAGGTGGCATTCCAGCTGAGATCTAAAGGACACAGGATTTAGGGGACTGACATTTCGGGAAGGAAAGGTGTTGGGCATGAGCCCCAGGAGGGCACTGGAGCTGCGGCCAAGAAAGAGAAAGAAAGCCATTGAGGTGGGAAGGATCCAATGCATCTGTGTGGCCATGTCAGGGAGCCTAGATTTCAGTAGGAAGTTCAGCAGGAAGACATTGGAGGGACAGGAAGAAGGGTGACTGGTGTGTTCAAAAGCTCCCCTGGACTGGCGTGGAGAACCCCCTGAGGAGATGGGAAGAGCTGGCCACAGTGGAGCCAGGCAGACCAGGGAGCAGGTCCAGGTAAGAGACACTGGTGTTTGGGGGTCAGGTGGTGGTTTTGAAGCATGGCACAAAATTATTAGACCCGCCTTCCATTGAGAGGTGGGTTCTCTGTGCTCTCCCTGCTTGAATTTGGGCTGATTTCTGAGGATTTCGACCAACAAGGTGTGCCCAAAGTGTTGCTGCAAGACTTGCAAGGCTATGTCGTGAGAGGCAGTGCAGGCTCTGCCTTGGCTGGAATACCTGTTAGAACCCTGAGCCACCATGGAGGTCTGAGGCGGCCATGCTGTGAGGAAGCCCAGGCATATTTAGAAGCCATGTGTAAGTGCTCCAGTCCACAGTCCCAGCTGAGCTCAGCATTGGAGTCACCCAGCTGGGTGCCAGACAGTGGGTGAAGGAGCCTCCATTCAGTCACTCCTGCCTGTGAGTCTTTGCAGCTAAGGCTCTGTAGACTGGCTTCTGTGGTCGACCCCACTGTGTCCTGTCCAAATTGCTGAACCCCATGATTTGTGAAGATAATGAAATTCTCGTTTTGGCCACTCTGTTGCTGTTACTTGTGACACAGCAATCCTAATTGGAACAACTAGGGTGGAAGTGGGGTGCAGAAAGGAGGGAAGACACTGGGCCTGGACTCAGTGGAGAAGGGCAGGGGTAGGGAGAGAGAAGAGAGGAATGTACAGTGACTCTTATGCTAGCTGGAGTCCTTCATGGATTGAGGTGCTAATGAGTGCTGGGGTGAGGTGGCTGGTGAATTGAAACAGCCGAAGATTTGAGAGGCTATGTCACAGGTTTGTCTTGTCAGGTTTTTCCTCCTCCTGTCTCACCCACAGATTCCGTCAGCATGGAGCCCTCAGCAGTCTGCCTCTGAAGCATTGCTCAAATGTTACTTTCTTATCTATATGTATCACCATCCTCTGAGACCAAAGATTCATTGTGTCATACTCATAACCAGGATGTTGGGGCAGGAGCTGGGGACATAGCGGTGGATCCAATAAATCCAGGGTCTACTCTCCTGGAGTAACTAGTCTGAGTGCTGAATTAAATCACCAAACACACAGCACTTGCTATGTGCCAGGCACTCATTTAACCCTCTAACAGCTGTTCTTCTTGTTAATATTATTATTATCATCATCGTTACCTTCATTTTACAGTATGGGGAAAGCAAATCACAGAAGGATTAAATAAAGTTCCAAACTCCCACTGCCCAAACATGGTGGGGCTGAGATTTTAACCTAAAGAGTTTGGCTTTAATATCTGCCCTTAACCCCACAATTCTGCTGCTCGTCTAATGGAAAAGACAGACTTGGGCCACTGCAATAAAAAAGAAGGTGTTAGGCATAAAGCTGGGGGATGCACAGTGGACTGTGGAAACAGAGACAAAGTCACCAAATCCAGCCTGAGTGAATCAGGGAAGGCTTCCTGGAGATGTTCCTATCCTGGGATCCAGAAGGAATGAGTTGGTGTTAACTAGGTAGAGGTTGTGAAGCCAGAGGAAGCAGGGCCCATGGTGGTCTGATGGGTCTAGAGAACAGCGTTAGGGACAGTGGGAGTGGGGGAAGGTTTCAGAGAAGGGGCCCAGCAGGGGACTGGGCATACATTTAGGGAATATTAATAAGTTTGAAGCAGTGGTGTCACATGATCCGATTTCTTTTTCAGAGGCTCAAAGCAGCTCTTATGGGGCATCAATAGAAAGGGGCAGGAGACAAGAACAGGTGGTAAAACAGTTATCCGGAGAGAAAAGCCCCAGCCTGGACAAGGGTAGTGGCAGATGGCATGGAGAGAAGCAGATGGATTTGAGAGCAGAATCGACAGGATGAGGAGACTCCAAGGACAGGATCCTATTCTGTGAGACAGTGTGTAGGACTGGTGAGGGCAACATGGAGCTGGGATGGGAGAGGAGCCAGTCGGAGGGTGATGAATTGGTTGAGAGATTGAGGTATCTGGAGGTTACTGGGAGGGCAGCTGATTATATGTGCCTTGAGCTCAAAACGGAGGCCCTTCAAAGGTGGCGGACCTCCACAGTGAGAAGCAGTGGTCCTTCAAACCAAGACGAGGATGAGTGCTGTGGGAGGCCAAGGAGGCCCAGTGCAGAACCCCAGGAACTCAGCATGAGTTAAAGAACCAGCTGGGGAAGAGGAGAAGCTAGAGCCAACTGAAGAAAACTAGCCAGGGATGAAGGCAGTTACTCAAATTGCTAGAGAAGGAGCAAGGAGTTTTTAGGGTCCAACCTTGCAGGGGGCAAGGACTAAAAAGGGTTCAGATCATCACACTGATTTCCAAAGGTCTTCACAGTCTGGCTCCAAACTCCCTTCCAGCCTCCAGTTTTCCCAACACTCCCACCCCCAAGTCCTCATCACAGCAAATCGGTGGGTTGCCACTAACATTTACAAAATGGGAATGGACCAGAAAGCAAGAGGCATCCTATCTAATAAAAGAGAAACATGGTAATTAGCGTACTACCGCTACCCTTAGCAATGGCTAATCAGGGCGATATGCAAATTAACTGCCAGCCAAGATGGCGGCCGGCAGCCAGGCAGCTTGAAACTAACATGAGGCTTGCTTGCTTCAGTGACAGAGGACTCCAACGTTCCCCGCCTGCCGCTGCAGGCCTCTGAGCTGCAACTCTAAGCAACTATGTTACAAATATAGAAGCGAAACAAAACCCCAGAAACCTGCATTAGTCCGGGCTTCAGCCAGCAGGATCGCAACATTGTTTCAAATACAGAAGGTAAACAAAGGCCAGAAACCTGCTTTCAGCAGCGGAGGCCTAAGAGCTGGAGCCAAGCCTCAAAGCTAAAATTGGCCCAGAATAAAAAAGAAAAAGAAAAAAAAGGAGCGGTTGGGAGCTTCAGTCACCCGCCAGCCTGAAAACAGACCTCAGCCCCTCACCCAGACTGGCCAGGCACCCCAGTGGGGACCCCCACCCTGAAGGGTGTGTAACCAGCTGCAAACAGCCATCATCCCTTCACCCAGGCTGGCCAGGCACCCCAGTGGGGACCAGCACCCTGATCCAGGCGGTGCCCCAACCCCCACCCCACGGGCCCTGCCCTGTGTGTGATGGGGTAGAGCCATAACCTCCCCATCGGCCCTGCCCTGAATGTGACAGTGGCAGCGCCCCAACCCCCTGATCAGCCCTGCTCTGTGCGTGACAGGTGGTGGTGCCCCAACTCCCCTATCGGCCCTACTCTGTGAGTGACAGGGGGGAGCTCCTCAACCCCCTGATCGACCCTGCTCTGTGCATGACAGGGTATGGAGCCCCAACCCCAGATGGGCCCTGCTCTGTGCGTGACAGGGGGCAGCGCCCCAACCCCCGGATTGGCCCTGCTCTGTGCATGACAGGTGGTGGCGCCACAACCTGCCCATCAACCCTGCCTTGAGTGTGACAGGGGGCGGTGCCCCAACCCCCCAAATCGGCCCTACCCTGAGCGTGACTGAGGGTGGCATTGCAACCTCCCAATCCACCCTGCTCTGTGCATGACAGCGGGCGGCGCCCCAACTCCCCAATCGGCCCTGCTCTGAGCC